GAGAGGTAGGCGTGATCGCCACCCCGGCTGCTCCAGATGTTGGAGGTGAAGTGTAAGGCCACCTGCAGACCTGCCTTGTGCAGCTCCTCCCTCAAGTACTCCCTGTATGCCTGATACAGGGAGAGCACCACCGCCCTGCTAAAGGTGTTGCATGCAGGCACTTTGTAAACTGGGGCCAGAAGTGCTACGAGCTGCCTGAGCCCTGGCCGCTCAACTAGGGAGAAGGGCTGGCTATCCAGAGCAAGCATCTCCCCAGTGCTCTAGGTGATCTCGCTCACCTTGCGAACACGCCCCCCTTTCTGTCCACCTTTCCCCCACTGGTCCAGGGTGGCCTGCCTCTGCTTTGGGGGTAAGGGGGGTTTGGAGCGAGCGGGGGACTTCGGTTTCGGCACACTCGCACTGGTGCCAGGCTGAGCAGCAGAAAGAGGGGCAAGGGGGTGTCGCCTCCTCAGATGCAGCAGCATGACCATAGTGAAGAAGTGTCTCACGTCCTTGCCATGGCTCATGTGCCTTTGGCCATGCTGGCAGATGGCAAACCTGGGATCATCTGCCACCTCAAAATGATCCCACACTACACTACTCCCCCACTTCTGGGTTGAGGGTGAGGATCCTGGCTTTTCCCCCTCCTCAGCAGGCTGAGGCTGAACAGCAGGAGGAGCTGAGCCACTTGCCTCCACAACCTCAGCCTCCTCTGAGGTGCTGCTTTCCAGGGGAGACCTGGGTCTAAGGGAAACTTGAGGGGTGTGGAGCACAAACTCTGATCCCCCCCCAGTCCCCAGAATTGCATGAGCCAGTGCACTCAGCATCCCTAGTTCCAGCTCCAGCTCCTCCTCTCGCAGTGGGAGGCTCATGCTGAGAGCTGAAATTGGGGTGGACAAGGCAGTGATTCCACTGCTGGTGCCCGCTTCTGGACTGAACAGAGGTGGTGCAGGGACATTAGGTGCAAACACTGCTCCCACCTCCTGGCTTCCACTGGCAGCACTGATGTCATGGCTGCTCCGGAATAGAATGCGTCTGTGTCAGGGGAGTGGGGGGGGCGGTGGCTTTCATCTGTAACTTTCCCCCTACCCCCTCTCCCTCCCCTGCCAGAAGACCTGGCACCTGCCTTTCCAGCATGCTTCATATTGATTTTTCCTGTGCTGCAAACGGTCTCTGTGTGTGTGTGAATCCTTTTGTATATCTGCCCGTCTTGTTCTCCTGTGAATATTTGTGTCTATCTTGTGCTGTGAATGAAATTATTTTTGTGTCTTCTTTGTGGCTCTCGCTATATTGTCTGTCTTGTGGTGTGAGTGGAATTATTTGTGTGTCTTCCTGTGTCTCAATATATTACCTGTGTCTTGCTCTTCTGTGAATATCTGTCTGTCTTCCGCTGTGATTTTTTTCTATATTCTGGGTCTCTGTGTATGTGCATGCGTGCGTGCAAGCAGTCTGTGCCTCTCTGCACAGTGATAGATAACATTGGCTGGGAAAACACAACTGTCTTTTTGCAAAGTTTCCAAAACAAGTTTCCAAAAAAATAATTCAAAGAAATAAATTGAACTGTAATACTACTAATAATTGAATAGAATAGTTAAGCTAAACTAAGCTAAACTAAGCTAAATCCTAACCTCTCCTTTATAACACGAAAAAGCAGCAGGCAGGTCTCAGTCTCAGCATTCCTCTCTCTCACAGTTGCTGACAGTGAACAAGCTGCAAAAGGCGAGGAAAGGCTGGAAACAGGGGCTTTTATATTTTTTTTAGTCCCACCCCACAGACGCTGCCATTGGAAAGGTAGCCAGGGAGAAATCCTTCTCACTGGCCACCTACGGACGTCCACGCTCCCCCTCCCTCCCCCTCTCCCACTCTCCGTCCCTCCCCCACTCCTCCTCCCTCTTCAAATTTCTCAAAATGGCCGAAGTGGGTCCGAAGCGCTTTGGATGCCCCCAACCCGCTCCGGACGCCATTACTGGGATCCTGCTTTGATCCAGAAGTGCCGCTTCGGACGCTGAAGCATCCGAAGCAGGTCCGGATCCGAAGCGGGATCTGAAGACTTGCACAACCCTAATATTGGTTCTCCAACACTTGTTTTTCTAGCTTGGGAGTTCACCAGTTGTCATCTTGTGCAGAAATTACATAGAAGCAGGAATTCAAATGGGTATGAGCGGGCTGCTGTTAATGTGACATCTAATCTGTTTCAGGCCCTATGGCTGTCCCAAGACTCCTTCCCATTTTTTCTGGTTTTAAGTCATATTTTTGTATAAATCAGGGAACTTGACTCCCCAAAAAGGGAAACTGTGGAGCTGACTATCAAAGTGCTGTGAAAATTACAAAGCAAACAAATAGGAGACTCCAAGGCAAAGGGCCTTCTCTCATGTCTTGCTTATAGTGATCATAGGTGTTATATATGATGATAGTTGGTAAAACACTTTCAGACACAGAGATTATTTATGCAGTTCCCTTAGTATATTTTATCTGCTGCATATGATGTAGCTATCATGGTCCAGGACAGAAGTTCTCAGCCTCTTTAGAGTTAAGGCACTGTTCAGAAAATTCCACCTCTTAGTTTTCACTTGTTTTTTGACTACAGAAATATAATAGAGCAGAGGTTGTCAGGGGTTGTAATTTGAAAGGCCCCAGGGGGAGCACCACCACCCCACGCCACTGCCTCGGAAACAGGTACCCCTCTGCAGGCCCAACAGCCTGGCCAGCTGGACTCAAGGGGAGAAGCTTGCGCACGGTGGCTACCACCACCATCCTGCACCAGTGCCACCACTCTGTGTGTGGCTACTGCCAACTCCCCCCCGCTC